ATATATATATAGGAGCTCTGGTAGCTTAGTGCCTAAGGCACTTGACGCTAACCAGAAGCCTGGCAGTTCAAACCCACCAGCCACTCCTCGGAAGGAAGGGTAAACCTACTTCTGTAGCGATACTGCCTCGGAAACCCAAGGAAGGGTCGCTATGAGTTGGGGCCGACTCGATGGCACATAACAACAACAACAACAATATATATATATATACATATATATATATTCAGGAAGGGAATATATATCTTACACCAGATTTTAGATAGAGCTCTTTGTTCTCTGAAAATTAAGATCCACAGCTCTATGGAAGGAAAATATATCCCACAAATGAGACTGAGAAGACAGATGGAGAAGGTAGAGAGACAGTGACAAGGAAGCCAAGATTAATGAGGAGTGTCAGTGGCTAAAATACAAAGAAAGAGTGCTGCAAATAATTCCCTAGACTTGTGCTACTTTTGTACAGTATAAGTTTCTGAAAACAAGATAATCTAAACTTATTTTGAATGTTGTTGTTGTTACGTGCTGTAAGTCGGACCCGACTCATAGTGACCGCTCCTTGGGTTCCCGAGGCAGTATCACTATGGAAGTAGATTGCCCAACCTTCCTTTCGAGGAGTGGCTGGTGAGTTTGAACTGCCAGCCTTCTGGTTAGCAGTCAAATGCCTTAGGCACTACACTACCAGAGCTCCCTTATTTTGAATTAATTGGTAAAATTCTTTTATGAAGTGGACTCTTAACTAGTGCAGCTGAAGTACCTAGAGAAAATAACTTTTTCTGGAGAAAGGTCAACTCGGTGTGGAAAACATTGAGCTAGGCATCCTGTGGGACCTAAGTTCAAATTTTGTATTCTTCTAATTGCTAGCAGAGTGCTAAACTAGTGTAATAGTTTCCTTCACTGGAAAATAGTACTTATCCTGAGGACTAAGTGAAGTTAAATGACAAAGTGTTTATAAAGACCAAGAAGTGCATCCTTACATTTTACATGCGAAGCTTGACCCATTGCCCAGCACCTACCAGTTGTCACCAGTGTTTTTTGACTCATAGTGACCCCATGTCTCTTAGAGTAGAACTGTGCTCCACGCGATCTTCAATGGCTTATTTTTTGGAAATAGATCATCAGGCCTTTCTTTGAGGAGCTTCTTGGTAGACTCAAACAACCTTTTAGTTAGCAGCCAAGTGCATTAACCATTTCCACCACCCATAGACTCCCTGCCTACCACTTACTAAGGACATAATAAATGCTGGTCTCTGTCCTCTCCTTTTCCCACACTTGCATCCACATAAGTCACTGGAGCCTCTGACTATGGCCATGGAAACCCTTGATTTAGAGCTGAAGAAGTATCATTTCCATATTTGATAAGTGGCAGGATGAAGAAATGGGCATTGGTTGTTCCCCTATCTCTTACCAAGACTTCACTGGTAGTGGGATAAAAGACATACTCCCATCACCCCTCATTGGAAATCTGAGCATATTTTGCAAGAGAATTATGTCTGATTCTTACTTTCTAAGGTATTGATAACACTATATACTATTTTTGATGCTTTGTGAATAAAATCACTGAAATAATTAATTGTAAATAACTCTAATAATTTTTTTTCATAAGTAAAATGCATTGTTAGTGTAAAACTTAACATAGAATAGGATATTTGTAAAATAATCCTTCATCATTTCTGATTTATCCAGAAGAGAAACTTAACATTTGGAAGTAGATTTAGTATTAGTAGATCTGCCTAGACCTAAAGATAGCAGCATTTGGTATTTTGCTCATTTTCTAATTTATGAAATATTTTACACGTAATAGATTTCTTTATGAATACTCAAGGAGACATCAAGATCTTTCTATACCAGAGCTTTTACGGATTGGTGAAGAGTATGAAAATCTCCTGGCAGATTGCTGCAAAACAGAAAATCCTCCAGATTGTTATGGACATGCGGTAAGATTTATTATTATAGGTTGAGAGTATTGAAAAAAGTTAAAAGCAAAGTTTTAATGTAGGCTAGGGAGTAGAACTTGTGATTGACCAATCTGAGTTCACTTTATATTGGTGGCTGGTCATTGGGAAGACCAGAGTCGTGAGTTTGGTTTATGCATACTGTTTTGAACTATGAAATCAGTGGGTTGATTAAAAAATTTCTTTCCATTAAACATTGTATATATACATTTTTGTTTATGTACTCTCTATTTCATTTAACTAAGTTGAATTTTTATATGATTATAGAAGTACTAAATGATTATTGCAGATGATTAAAAAGTTCAAATGTCACAAAGAGAATTTTAAATCTTTCTGATTCTATCACTGATAAATATCTATGGTTAACAACTTAATTTTTTCTGTAAATAAATGTGTATATAT